CCCGTAATTACCGAGTTACCGAATTTCAAAGGTCGCCGATCGAGATCTTTCTAGGGCTCGTGAGCCCAAACCGAGCTTTGCCGCCATATAGTTCATAGGACCAAAGTTGCTTGTCTCGACGAGTACTACACTTCTATCTGCTCACTTTTTTTGCTCCGATTCGAAGTTGCGCTACTCCTGTAACCCTGACCTAGCCAAGTGAGAATGAGGCGGAAGGCCTTAACTGGCATATCATCACCCCATCCTCAGATGTGCTCAATGGAGCTCTATTCTGTATCGGGCTATCTTCTGACTATATTTTATCTACAGTCAGTATCATTCTTCCTCTTATTTAAGGAAAGAATTGTTCCATTCCTATAAGAAATTGGTTTCTTATTATATATAAGAACCTGCAGTGTCCCATCATCATGTGATAGGGACGCTACAGGACTGTGTTGTTGAAAGGGGAGGGGGGAAGAAGGCTAGGTCAATCTTCTTGATTGCCCAACCTTTCTCTCTCCCTCTGCTTCTTCCTTTGCTCTCATCACCTTAGAACAAAAGATGGTGAAAGCTCTCTACTTTTCTACGTTCTTGATCGTTTCCTCTATTATAGATGGCAGTCCTAGTCTTACTCCTCTGCCCAACACCTCCCGGAGCTTGTTTCTGTCCTGGTCCCAGGCAGGACAGAGCTCCAGGGTGTGTTGGGCCGTGTCTATTCCGTTGCTACAGTGTTCGCAGCTCGGGGAAGTAGCCCTTTTTATCTTAAAAAGGTATTCCTTAAAACACCCATGTCCGGACATCATTTGAGTGATGTGAAAGGTAGTGTATCCTATGATCATCCTGTACCACTCCTCTAGATGTGTGATAGTGGCTTGTGTTACTCTAGTTCCGCTAGTATTGTGTGAAGTTGTCACTCTCTTTTTCCACTCTTTAATCGCTTCTCTTTTTGCTTGTAGGCACAATCTTACCTTGGCAGAGTGTTCCAAAAGATCACCCTCTCGACTCATGTTTCTCATCTGATTATATACATGAGTGAGAGTCTGTGCAGTCAGCTCCAGCGGCACTCCCCTAGCCAGGATTATCGCAGCCACGAAGGAGACCGTTCTGTAACCACAACATAATCTAAGACAAATCTTTCTTTGTAGTCTATGTATGTCTCTTTTGACCGTAGTGTTTTTCGAAACATCGTCAACCCACACTGGTGCTCCATACAGAAGCACCGAATGTATAATATTGGAGTATAATCTCCTAATCTTCTTCTCGTCTAGGACCTTTAAGGTTTGGCATGATACTGGACAGGGCCCGGAACATTCGCTCCGCTCTCGGTATGACATATTTGAAATGCGGAACAAACGTCCAGTTTCCGTCCAGAACAATACCTAAGTATTTCATGGAGCTGTTTATTTTAACAGGTTCTCCCTTGATCAAAACCAAAATTGATTGGTTTTGGATGGCGCTGGATGGGAACACCATTACCTCCGTCTTCGTAGAAGCTACTCGAAGTCCCAGTTTTTCGATTTCCAGGATCAAGGAGGCAGCAGCCATCTCTGTATTGTTTACCAACTCCCTGATATTGTTTCCTGGAGTCAGGAGGACGGTATCGTCTGCATAACAAATGACCATACACGCCTTTGGCAGCATCACAGAGGTCAGAACTTTGTCGTAGCCTATATTCCAGAGGGTGGGACCCAGAACTGATCCCTGAGGGACTCCTCTGGTGATCTCTCTTTTAACCTTCTCATCACTCCGGTCGATATAAGTTATCCATCTGTTATTTAAATAGTCCCTGACTATTCGCAATAAATAGTCAGGAAACTGTTTTCTCCGCATGGCTTTTAAGATGGTGCTCCATGGCAGAGAATTGAACGCATTTGCGATGTCCAATCCTACTGCCATGACCATTCGTCCTTGACTCCTTTGATCCTGGACATAGGATCGCAATCTGCGTATGGCATCAATCGTGGATCTACCCTGGCGGAAACCATATTGCTCATTGGAGAGTCCATCGGTGTCATTCAGGTGAGTATGTATCCTTTCAACAATTACTCTCTCCAAGAGCTTCCCAGCTTCATCTAATAGACATATAGGACGGAAGCAGGCCGGATCGTTCACTTTACCTTCTTTTTTCCTAATTAGGACAAGGTTTGCAACCTTCCAGTTTTCCAGGAAGGAGCCCTCCTTTAAGCATAAGGTAAAGCACCTCGCCCAATCGGAGAGCAAAAACATAGACGTGCCAGTCATCACTGAACCCAGTATTCTCCTCGGGCCAGGGGCTTTGTTACCCTGGATTTTTTTCAGGGCAGCTTTAATTTTAGATTCCTGCACGTCCCAGTCCGAGCACCAGGGAATTTGTTCCCTAGAGTATTCTCTACCTTTCACTCCTCGTGGGAAAAGTACGGCAAGTATTTCCTCTAAAGCTGTAGATGACAATGTTGACACTACAGGCATATCCTGGGGTCTCATTTTTCTTGTGACAATTCGGAATGGTCTTTCCCATGGATCATTGTCTATCGTAGCCTGTAGATCTTTCCAGGCATTTGATTTAGCTCTTCGTATAGCAATTCTCAAATCCTTCTGTATGTTCGCGTATTTCTGCTTTGCCAGAGCAATCTCTTCATCTGAACCATTTCTTTTCTTTCTTGTGAGTACTCTCCGTGCTTTATGACATTGGTTTTTTAGAGTGGAGATTTCCTCACACCACTAGTAAGTATTCTTTCGTCTAGTCTTTTTGCTTTTAGGCATAGCCATATCAGAGACCTCTTTTAGCGTGTTTTCTAACCACGACACTTGTGTTTTAACATTCTCTTCCAGGTGATCTCGGCTAGTTCACGTTTTGGCTGTGATTGCGGCCAAAAGTCGATCGATATCAAGTTTTTTCCCGTTCCATATTGGGAAGTCAAGTCTCGATTGTTTAACTCGATGTTTGATTTTCGTAAGGAAAGATCCGAGCTCCATTCGTATGTACAGGTGGTCAGAAGCAGTGGGAGTATGTGGGCTAGTACTTAATTAGCCGCTCCGATGGCGGATGCCCACGAGATCCGATGATTGGAGGGGATGAAATGAGCAACACAGATATACTTTAAGGATAACAATGTATTTGAGTCTTGACTTTACAATGTCGAGTCGTTGTGTGTCTTTTCTCGAATGCACGCCTTGACCGTGTGCGTTCTTTTTTGTAACTAACTTCGCCTCTCGACTCTGTACAGTCGATACTATAGGACGGTATAGTTATCGGTAGGAGCCTACAGTACTCCCCCCTGAGTGTAAACGCCATATAAAAAAATGTTGCCTAACATATACGGCAAAATGATTACAATATTCTTAATAGCTAAGCTTATACTACTGTGGATGCCACGAGAACAAAAAAAATAAAATAAAATCTTGAATACAAAACACTTAAGTTAACTTAAAAGCTACGTGTTTCTTAGGATTAGAGTACGTCTTTGGTAACGCATTACATAAATTAGTAATTTGCGGAGTATCTGTTACAGTAGGTACATCAGTCTTATCATTAATGAAGTGTGCAGGCTTAAGCCTTTCGACGGACACACTCTGAGGTCTACCATTGATTTCAAGCGTGAAGACTTGTTCGGAGTCTCGTTGTAAAACTTTGAAGGGACCAGTATACGGTTGTTCGAGTAGTTTTTTAACCGCATTGCAACGAAGGAATACGTGAGTATAGATCCTTAAAACAAAATGGACGTTTTTTGCTGTGATGTGCCGCCAATATAGGTTTAATCTGGCGCGTATACTCGCGGAAATCTTCAAGAAAGATTTGTGGGTCCGGAGTAAAATTTTGTTGTATGAAAAATTTGCCTGGAACACGCAAGATTGTTCCATATATGAATTCCGCTGGGGACGCGCCGGTGTCTAAGCGCACATGTGTGCGTAATCCGAGCATGACCGTTGATAGTACGCTAACCCAATCTGGTGTGTTATGGCACATTATGGCTGCTTTTAAGGTACGGTGCCACCTTTTTATTAAGCCATTCGCGGCTGGGTGATATGCAGCAGTGCGAATTCGCTTGCAGCCTACGAGCGATAAAAGGGCAGAAAAGAGTTGAGACTCGAACTGAGCGCCTTGATCCGTTGTCAGAATTCGTGGCGCGCCGAATCGTGCGATTCAATTATCGTAAAACGCTTGTGCCACTGTTCGGGCTGATATGTCGCGGAGAGGAACAGCTTCTGGCCAGCGCGAAAAACGATCAATAAGCGTTAAACAATATTTGTAGTTATTACAAAGAGGCAGAGGGCTAATAATGTCCATGTGGACATGTTCAAAACGCGCGTCGGGAGCGGTAAAATGCGTGGGGATTTCTTTGACATACCGTGTGATTTTACACTGTTGGCAGTCAGTACATGCTCTAGCCCATTCGGCGACGTCGCGGTGTAGATTAGGCCAAATGTACCTTTGACGAATTATTTGGTCAGTGACCTTCTAGGATGAGCACTAGGATGAGCTAGGATGAGGGTTGTGAAATATGTCGAAAACTCGCTTCCTAAGGGGTACTGGAATATAAGGACGTATGGATTCGCCTGACATTTCACAATATAATTCGGTGTGAGGGGTTGGTCCCCATATAAATTTCTTAAATTTAAGAGAGCAGTTTTTAGAATTGAGCAAATGCTTAAGTTCGTCGTCCAGTGACTGTTGTTCCGCTAGCTCGACTAGTTCAACTTCCACGGGAAGGTGTAAAGCTTCTACACGTGACAAGCTGTCTGCTACTACGTTATCTGCGCCCAGTAGATATTCAAAATTCGTAGTAAATTGGGCGATAAAAGATAATTGCCTCAATTGCCTAGGAGAAGCTTTGTCAGAATGCTGCTTGAAGGCATAAATTAAAGGTTTGTGATCAGTTAAAACTTTAAACGGGCGACGACCTTCCAGAAAATGTCTGAAAAACTTGATCGATTCGTAAACTGCCGTTAACTCGCGATCGTATGCGCTGTATTTTCGCTGGGACGCGGTAAACTTGCGTGAAAAGAAAGCGAGAGGTTTCAAATATCGGATAAGCGCTGCTCAAGAGCAGCTCCCATGGCAGTGTCGGACGCGTCTGTAACGATGCGCGTTTCCGCTGTATCGGAAGGGTGAATTAATAAGGTTGCATTTGCCAGTTCCTGTTTGGCCTTGAGAAATGCAATTTCGGCTTCCGGTAACCATGCTATTTCCCGTTTATCATTCTTGCGTGAATCCGTCAAGTAAACGTGAAGAGAAGCTTGTACGCTCGCAGCATGCGGAAGGCTGCGTCTGTAAAAATTTTACGTACCTAGAAAACGTCGAAGTTCAACGATCGTGCACGGCTTAGGAAAATTTTGGATAGCTGCGACTTTTTCTATAGTAGGCTTGCAACCCTGGGAGTTAACGAGATGGCCTAAGAAGATTATTTCTCTTACACCAAAAACGCACTTGGTTGGATTGATAAATAATCCGAATTTCTTGAGTCTACGGAAGACTGTACGAAGATGTTCCTTATGCTCCTCTACTGATGGGGATGCGATGAGGATATCATCAATGTACACAAACGCGAAATCAAGGTCCTTGAGTGCGCGGTGAATATACCGCTGAAAGGTTTGTGCGGCGTTGCGAAGGCCAAAGATCATTGAGACGTATTCGAACAGGCCAAAAGGGGTGATAACCGCAGTTTTCTGGATGTCATCTTTTGCTACAGGGATTTGGTGGTACGCTCTAAAGAGGTCGAGCAAAGAAAAAATTTTCTTTCCCTGTAGGTTCGCCGAAAAATCGTGGAGATGTGGGATTGGATATTTGTCCGGGATTGTCATGGCGTTAAAACGACGATAGTCGCCGCATATGCGCCATTCGCCTGATTTTTTTCAAACTAGATGAATTGGACTGGCCCACGGGCTGCTCGAAGGCCGACAAATCCCTAGCTTCATGAGTCGTTTAAATTCAGCCTTTGCGGCTTTTAATTTATCCGGTGCCAAACGTCGAGGACGTTCCGCAGTAGGAGGGCCATTTGTGAGAATGTGATGTTCAACATCACTGGTTTTCTGCGTGGTCTGTTGCAACACGCCGGTAATTTCCTGGAATTTAGTGAGGATTTTGGCAAAATTATTTGAATGATCTACTGTAGAAAGGCATAAGTCCGGAACGGTGCTAATACTGCCTGTGGTATATAATTTGGTAGTGCTATCGAAGAGGTAACGCCTACTTAGACTAACATCTAAACCATAATGTTTTAGAAGATCTGCACCAATAATTGAAAATGGCACAGCAGCTAAACAAAAATTCCACGTGATAGCTCGACGTAATCCTATGTCTAAAGTAAGACAGCGCTCGCCGAACGTATCGATACGTGTATTGTTCGCAGCGTATAATTTGAGCTCTGACGGAGTTTTTCTCTGCGTTAAAGAGGCGGCTAACACTGAAATTTCCGCGCCAGTATCAATTAGAAAACGATAATCGGATTTACGGTCGCGGATGTGGAGGCGATTGTGTTTAGATTCACCTTGCGCGATTGCCTCGGATCGAGAAGGTGTATTTAGTTTTCCGAAGTCTCCTTGCCTACCCACGAGCATGGTTTGCGACAGGAAGTCGCGTTTTTACCGTACTTTTAATATATAAAACATAAGCCGGGTTTAACGTCGGATGTACGTTGATCTCGCTATGTGGAGTTTGGGCGGGAGCGAGAACGGTCTCGTTTGAATTTCTCAAACTTGCTATCGAGCGAATCCAGACGTTTAATGATCTCTGCAAGTTGTTTTTCTGTGTTAGATGGGTCGTTCGTGTCTTTGTGCAAACACGTTTTGTTTGTATCCGGATGCGACCGAATAAGGGCTATCGCCGTATCCAAACTACTCATGTCGGCAATTTTGTCTGCAATGTCTGCAATTTTCTGAAGGTCGGGTTCGTTCATTGCTACTAAGATCGCTCGTTGAGACTCTGGCAACTGTTCAAAGAACAGAGACTTTAAGACCGCTGAACTGCATTGACCGCCGTTCAATTGACTCATATGATTTAACAGGTGCGACGGCTTTTGGTCACCTAGCGATTGACCCTTCAACAACTGACAAAGACGCGCTTCTGGTGAAGTTGAAAAGGCTGACAGAATCCGTTTTTTTAAGAGTTTGATAAAAATCCTCGGGAGGGGGATCCGCATTAACGAGGTCTCGGACATGTTGAACGACCTCGCTCTCTAACGCGCTGATAAGATAGTCAGCTTTGGTACGGTCTGTCTTACAATTCGCGATTCGAAATGTTGCTTCCACTTGTAAGAATCATGTTTCAAGATCATTACGCCAAAAAGGTGGTATTTTAGGCACGCAACATGAGCTAACCTGAGCGTCGTCGCTGTCTGCCTGGCCCGGAACCGACATAATGTGGCGGTTGACTAAAAATTACACGCGACGAAAAATTATACGCGCCACCACGCAGTCGTTACGCTATCGCAAAGCGCGCGAAATTTATCGTGAATTGGCGGCTTAATCTAACACGGACTTAGCTGTACGCTGGCGCGTGTCGCTGACTTGCAGGATGTGTCCGTCCAGCTGTCCGGCCTGTCGTGGTCTTCGCGCGTCGTCTCCTTGGCGTTGGGAAGATCGACTCGTCCGATATTGGGCTTGTTGAGGACTGTCCCGAAGATGTGCGGGATTGACTCGGCTTTTAGCGCTTCTTACGAAAGGCTTGAGTGTTCAAGATGCTCTGCGTATCACTTTGTCGTTATGCTTGACGAACGTTGATGCTCTGCGTATTGTTTCGTCTTTGTGCTTGACGAACGTCGGGGTCACCAATGTGGGCTAGTACTTAATTAGCCGTTCCGATGGCGGATGCCCACGAGATCCAATGATCGAAGGGAATAAAATGAGCAACACAGATATACTTTAACGATAACAATGTATTTGAGTCTTGACTTTACAATGCCGAGTCGTTGTGTGTCTTTTCTCGAATGCACGCCTTGACCACAGTATATACAGTAGCGCAACTCTCGGAAATTTGTGAAGCCCAAAATAAGTGCGCATGCGCGAAGTCAGCGAGTAAATCCAGTACCGCCATCTGAACTTTTTTCTCACTTCCTCTTTCTTCGTTACGCTCTCTCTCTGTTACTCTTTCTCAGCATTTAAAAGGCCGTACGAATATTTGTATATTCTTGCTGGCAAGATATTTAAATGCAGAGTTAAAAAAAGCAAGCGATTAAAAATAGTGTTGTGTTGTGTAGTGAAAGTAAAATAGTGGAAGTGCAAGTGATTTTAGTGACATTACTAAGATAGTGAAAGCTGATTGAAGCATTATCCTTAGAAAAAATAGTTAACCTATATAAATATTTATATAGATTTTCTATTTTCTTGTAGGAGCATTTTGATCTTAGCTTTGTTTCAGGTGTTGCTGTTGTTCGTGTTTTCTAAAAAATAATAATTATTTTTTTAAAATGAACAAAAAGGAAAGCAGTGGTGCGCTGTATTTAAATGTATGAATGTCAATGTGGAAAAACGGCATTTTTTTAGATTTCCAAAGGAATATGACAGGTATTTTTTTATTTATTATTTGTAAAAAATGTATTTTTTTAATCACATATATCTTATAAAAATATTATACATAAAGTTTTAAAAATTGTTTTTACAAGTTTGTCAATTTATATACGTTTCTTTTTATATTAACAAATTATTATTATTATATGTATATTGCAACGTGAACTGGCCTCGGAATCACGCCAGATCCGAGGGAGCACGCCCAATGGAAATCGGTAGCTTGCGGTATCGGCAATAAATGCTCGATTCGGTAACTTACGGTATCGGAAGCAGGTGCTCGATTCGGTAACTCGCGGTACTCCACGCTCGTCGGGAGCAAGGTAACTCGCGAAATCGGCAATAACTGCACGATTCGGTAACTCGCGGTACTCCACGCTCGTCGGGAGCAAGGTAACTCGCGAAATCGGCAATAACTGCACGATTCGGTAACTCGCGGTACTCCACAAAATTCGGAGCAAGGTAACTCACGCGATATCGGTAACCGGAAAT